CTCTCTCTATCTCTCTCTCTCTCTCTCTCTCTCTCTCTCTCTCTCTCTCTCTCTCTCTCTCCTCTCTCTCTCTCTCTCTCTCTCTCTCTCTCTCTCTCTCTCTCTCTCTCTCTCTCTCTCTCTCTCTCTCTCTCTTTCTTTCTACACACAGCGGATCCGCTGCCCGTTTAACAGCCTCATCTTTGTCAAACTTTCTTATGTTCTTTCTCTAACACGTAATGAAGGTTATTAAGTGTTTTAGCTCCTATGTTGACCACCATTTCCTTTATGAAGTAAAGCAGCCTCCCTGTCTGTGTCCTCGCGCTGTCCTCACATCCCCGGACCCCCAGACTCGGAGGAGCACAGGGATGTCAGTATTGTTTATGAAGCAGGGTAAAGAAAGTACATTATTGAAATGAAAATACTATTTATTTACTTTTACAAACAGTGAGCAGCTGGGAAGCTGCAGCATGTGTATTGCAGGACATGTGTAAACGTGCAAGCGTCTTCTAGTTGTAGAAAAGCGCTAGGCCTATAAATCTAATGTATTATTATTAGGCCTATGTGTTGGACATGTGTGGTTGGACTCTGTCTCACAGGCAGGTTGCAGTGTAACTTCAGAGGAGACTGGGCCAATTGTACATTCTCAAACTGCACCACTTAGAACTAACTAAACAATGCAGAGATTATTTTTATATATTTTATTCAATAACCGTAACGAAATTCAACAGTATGTGAATGTAAGTGATTTGTAAATAGGAATACAGATTTGACTTAATGTTTTCATAAATATATTTTTCTCCCAGTTTGTCATGGGACTTATTTTTACTCTCTCAAAGAACCGGAATCGAGAACCGAAAATAACCGGAATCGAAAAGCATAACCGGAATTGTTAAAATCCAAACGATACCCAACCCTATGTGTGATGCAGTAAAAGCGTACCGCTCACTTACGTTAGCGGTGTCGTAAAAAACGTGGAAAAATACGATGGCGAAGAAGAAGATTCCAGTGGCCCCAATTTTTGTCCATTCTGGACAAGTGAAAAATGTATTCGGACAAGTACATTGCCAAACTCACTTGTTCATGGACAAGTACTCTCTAAAAACTTTTTCTCACACTGCTAAACTAAAAGCTACAGGAAACTCTTTATGTCACCAGATTTACATACAAAAAATGTTGTCAATATAATGACCCTTAACAGTAGAAGCACCAACACCCATTAACATTTTGACTATCGCAACAGCGTCAGCACTCGCAGAGAAATCATTTCTGAAACATTGAATTTGTTCATTTTCATAATTTCCTTATATACTAAGCAAGCTTTAAACTCAGTTATTGTGGTTTGTTTTTGATTTGCTAATAGTAGATTTTTGATTTGCTAATAGTAGATTAACAACATTATTCAAAAGTTTAAATTCATTTGACAGCCCATCATTTACACATTCTAGGAAAAGCCATGCAGTGACAGATGTGTGGGTTTCATTACAACAGAATTACACGTATTTAAAAAAATGCAGGGGGGTCAATGGTTGAAGTGTTAAAGGAGCTTGTGTGTGTACCTCATAGAGTGAGCGCTGCACGCTGCAGCAGGGGTTTGCTGCCACGTACTTCAGCGCCCTGCACAGGGTCCTCAGGCTGTAGTGGGGTCTGTGGCCCGTCCCGTCCACCAGGTGGGAGTGGGCCTCCTTTCGCACTGCCAGGTAAAAACTGCACACAAACACAATCAAGGAGGAAATCAGCTTGAGACTACAGCAGGGTTCTAAAAAGTGCAACAAAGTGAGCATAAAGAGTGAGGAAGGAGAGGGGTCTGAGCAGGGATGAGGAGAAGAAGCCTTTTCAGCGGTGTCCCCTGTGTAAAGAGCAGTGGTTAATGCACTGTCAGTGATTAAAGGCTGACCTTATGATGCCGCTGATGATGTTCCGGTGTGGATTCAAACCCTTCAGGTAGTCTGAAACCAGAATCCGCAGGTCGCCCTCATTCTCCAGCTCCTCCACATACAGCTCAGTGAACCTGACACACACACACACACACACGGTTGGCATCACTGTAACTGGACCATGTTTAGGTGTTTCTTTCCTTCCACTTTAACATCTAAATGGAACTCCCACATCTAATCAGAGACTGCACTGATCTCCCAAGCCTCAAAACACTGACCCAAACTCACCTTTTCAGACCAGCTTTTAATGTGTGAGTGATTCTGTGTCCTTGTGATAGATGTTGTTCCATTGCTGGATTTTAAAGTTGACTTTGTACCTCTGTAAAGCATCTATGAGCAATTGATAAAGCGCATGATAAATTCAATATATTATTATTATTATTTAATTGTTATTATGGCCTGTACTGTACATTTTTTATATTTTCTTAATAATTATACAAAAAATAATAGCTCAGTCCAACATGATGCTATTATCATATAATCATATATACAGCATATATATGATGTCCTATACTACACTATCTTTTTCTGTATGAAACAGATTTACAAAAATACATTTGTTTAGAATGGTCCTTCCAGAAGGGCAAAAGGTGGATTTGCAAATGGATAAGGACAGGAGGGTTTTATGTTTTAATGGTGGAAATGTTTAGATAATGTCTAATGATAACTGCTCAGTTCCTACAATTTCAGATCAATTTCATTCATTGATGTATTTCTCCTAATGGAATTGAATCTGCCACCACAGTGATGACCTAAGCCTCTCACTCTGCACTCACCTGTTCCTGAGGCCCAGAGGGAGGTTCCTCTTCCCCACGTCAGTGGCTGGGTTCATGCAGGCGAAGAGCCGGAAGTCTGGGTGCCGGACCAGGGGCTCTGTGACAACACAACAAAACACTCATATATTACAGTAGCAGAAACATATATACATATGATCTGACATACAGTTGTGTAAGTAGCTGTTGTGCAAAATGTTCAAGTAATGGAGGGAGAAACTGAAAGTATGGAGCAGTGAGCTCTCTGCCGGCCAGAGGTGAGCTGTTGTAAAGTGTTAGAAGTTCATTTGATGATTGAGTGAGTGATGGATCAGGGAGGATGCATTTGGTGCTATGGATCTGGTGAGAATGCTGTGTGTCCTTAAAAGCTGAAATACCGATAAGTAGTGTCTTTGTAGTCTTTAATTGAAATGGAGGAATCAATTCAACTTTTTTAGATCACACAAGTACACAGCAGCACAAACAGCATGTTGACTCTTCATGTAGCCCATCCTGAGCTGATGTCACACAGTAACTGTAACTACAGTCACACTCAGATAACCAGTTCCCGTTATATCAAACATTTGCTAAACTTTTATGATGAAATGGTGTGATGAGCATTCAGCTAATGTGGTCTGCCAGCCAGAGTGCTATTCCAAAGACCATACACGGGCAAGACATGTCACTTGATTGTGAATCTGGACTTCTAGAGAAACAATAAGAAATAGGAAATATGCTTAACCACTGTGTGTATGAGTATTTAACTATGGTTCAAATGTTGAAATCTGAATCTGACAGCATTCAATATGAGACACAGAAATAGAGTTGGTACTTGATTTATATTCAGTTAAATACTATTAAATCCCAGCCCTGTGTGTCGAGTCCTCACCGGTGTCTCCTCGGTCCAGCAGCACCAGGGAGCCGGCGCTGCCCTCCAGCAGCCCGCTCAGACACTCCAGAGTCTCAGCTGCTGCCAGGTTGATCTCATCCAGCAGGATCCAGTGGCCCTTCTTCACCGCCTGAGCCAGCGTCCCCTGAGGAGGGCACACAGAGGTCAGAGCCGCTCCACCACAAGAGGTTCCTTCTACACACCCCACCTCATCTCTCTTACAACAACTCTTCATACCCTTCCTGTCCAGTGAAAACCATGTCTTTTGAAAGTTTGTGATAAACAGAAGGATGTTTCTTTATGTATTGAGAAAAATATCCTAACTCTTATGGCCCGTCCACACGGCGGCGTGCGTTGTCGCTTGCCGGTGGGGGGGGGGCTGAAACTCGACCAACAACCAATCACATGAATCTCCCGCCCCGGACACACAAGCATGCGGTTTGATTGGCTAGAGCTTGTACTGGCATAGGATTTGATTGGCTGACGCCAAAGCTTCAAAAGTTGAACATTGCTCAACTTTCGTCACGAACAAATCTACGCTTCGCTCCCACAATGCAGTTCGGCGAAACGTGACGTCACCCCATTCAAAGTGAATGGGCAGAAGCGTTGAAGCTTCAACGCTGTGTGGACGGGCCGTTAAGCTGAAAACTATTTTCAAAAGCATCTTTAAACAGCTGGAAAATGCATTGTGACAAAGCTGAAAGCAGGGCTGTGTTCCATGAGGTAGCTACAAAAATATAACTATCTTAAAGAATATATATAGTATATAAAAGGAGTTGAAATTAGCATAAATGCAGCTTACATGTGAATGCAGCAGTACTATTAATCAAGAAACATCAAATATATTTATAACAGTTAAACATTGAGAGGGAACATTTTACTGCAGAATAAATACTTTTAATTTGAGATACTTTCAAAACGTTTTGCTTATAACACTTCCTTAAGAAAGGTTTTAAATGCAGGAATTGTACTGTGTGGCATTCATATCTTTACCTCCTCCACCCCCGGTTATTTGAAGTTCTAATGTACGGAGAGTAACGGGGATGTTTATGTGGTACGCATTGTGGTCCTTATGCTATCAGGGCACTCTATGAAGAAACATTTTTGTGAGTCTTTACCTCCACAAATGCAAACACCATGGCCGCCTCGCAGGCTCGGATCTGCTGCTGGGTCTGGTTCAGCTTAGCAGCCAGAGCCTCCCACTGCTCCTGCAGCTGAGCGGCTACACACACACACACACACACACACACACACACACACACACACAGTGTTAATATCAGCCTTTCATCGAGCTGAGTTCGTATCATTGCTCATTCTGTCTGGTTCACTACCATTGGGCTTCTTCTGCAGCTCCTCGGTGACGGCAGACTTGCAGACGTGGTCCATGAGTTTGAGCAGGTCCTGCCAGCGCTTCCCTCTGAAGCAGGTCTGCACGTGGCCCAGGAAGCTCAGGTTCTGCTTCCTGGAGTACGTCTGCGAGAACAGGTCCTCGAAGGCCTCACGCAGAGGGAGCAGGATCTGCTTGTGGTCTACTGGCTTGTACCTGCAATAAAATAACAGAGTTTTAAACTTCAATGGGTGTCAAAAATTGACAATATGCACACTCCTGTATATTGTTTTTGATACTGTATGTTGTTTAAGAAAAAAGAATGGTATTTGATATACATATATTGATGTTTTTAAACAGAATCAGAAATCCTTTATTAATTCCACAGTGGGGACATTTAGTGTCACAGCTAAAGAAAAATAAAGACAAATAAGTACACAACCATGGCTTAAACATTTGTAGCAGCTATTCAAATAATGAAATGTTGGGATGTAAATGTAAAATGTGCTTTTGACTCACCCTCCGAGCAGGTCAGCAGTGTCACTTTGCTGGTTCATGTTCACCACCCGCAGCCTGTGTCCTGTAAACACACACCGGTGTCAACATCTGTATACGTTTTCATTGTTACTTTGTTGTATTTTTATTTATTCTTATTTGGGGGTTTTACATTTGTGTGATGTCTTTTACTGAAAAACCGAAATGCCAATAAAAAAAGAAATTGTCAGGAGAAATGTGAGGTTCAAGGACACTTAAGTATGTGGAGAGGGGGGGCTCCTGGGCTCACCTGTGACTCTGGTCAGGTGCTGCACAGTGGAAGTCTTCCCTGTCCCCGTCTCCCCCACCAGCAGCACCGGCTCCCCTTTAGCCACACACACTGCTAACTGCTCCAGCAGCACGGCAGAGGGCCGCGTGGCAGCAAACGTCTGGCTGTCCCTGTTCATGGAAGTAAAATAAATTAACACATTAAATCATTACATATTCAGTGGTGGATCAAATACTATAACAGGCCTGGAGGTTGATTTTGTTAACTGTTTAATCACGTTGCCTTGTCTCCAGAGCCGACACATGTAATAAACTCAAAGGTTATTAATGTTTAGAGATCACAGTCATGTGATTTAACAAACAGCATACCAGACCAGCAAAACGGCAGTGAAATGTTAAATGTGTTTTTTTTCCTTTTTAAAAAAATATTGCTTATGATTTCAATTTCTTCCTTTGTAAAATAAATAATGGTTGTATTAGATGCAGCAATAGCAGAGATGTTGTGTTACATTATTATATATATATATTACAACCTCAAACTACTTAACATGCACACACTATTGACAGGCTTCAATGAAAAGGCTGACTCTCATTCATATTGGCTTTAGTGTAATAATCTATGAATATTTGGAAATGACCTGATGGCTCTGCTTACATCAGAATGCATTTTAAAATCAATGCAATGTTTATTCAATTTGCCAGCAGGGGGGACTATTTGTTCCTATCAGATGGGGGAATGTTGGCACAACAACCAGCTGATGCATATATGGTGCAAAGAGAGGTCAGGGGGGGCGAGGTGTCCCACTTACACACTGAGCTGCACCGCTTCCGTCTGCTTCCGACACAGAGTCACTCTCCCCACTGACACCCCCACCTCGCTCACAGAGATGCCCGGCTGGTACATCTGGCAGAAGTGCTGGGCCTGAACACAGAAAGCATCAGAACATTACGACAACTGTAGACCAGGGGGGTCCAAACATTCTTCACTGAGGGCCACATACAGAAAAACATACGAAGGGCTGGGCCCCTCACTAGAGCTGATGTCAAATGCCTCATAAGTTAAGTTATCAGTTAGCAAAATCAAGCAAATGTAGAAAACTTATTCTTGATACTTGAATATGCCTTAGGAAAAACCAGCCTCCTTCACAGCTCTCCACAGGGTTTCCTTTATTTGGTTACAAACAGTGTTGGCAGCTCATCCCTTAACACAGGAGCCTCAGATTGAATATAAAAAGGAGAAATACGAAGGGTCTATTTCAAGCTGGTAATGGAATTATGATATCTGGCTTTTTTTTATCAACTAAGATTTGTTAGAAAATGTTCTCAACTTGAATTGACTGATTTGATTTGAAAATGAGGCATATTAACACATGAATACTGTGCAGTGTGCAATATATTTACATATTTCAGAAGTACAATTAAAGACAAGCACACGTTTTATGTGTGGGCCATATTCCATTATACTTCTAGAATTTGGAAACCCCTGATGTAGATCATAAAACAGGGAGACCTTTTAGGACTACATTTCCAATTTATTTTCTAATCAATCAATGCAGTAGGGGATGCTTTACATACTTTAAAGATAAGATCATCTTTTTAAATTTACTTCATTTCATTTGTGTCCATCACAGATATATTTGTTTTCATATTTTACTTTTTTAACGTATACATAGTACACTAGATTGTTTTGGTATATCAAATAAAAATAACATTCTAATGTCTTCTGTATATTTTATAGTGTTTAGAGTTTAGATGCTTCTCTGAATATATGTATTTTTTTCCGAGAATGTATATATTGTGTTTTAACTTTGAATGTGTATTTTTATTTGATTTGTATTTTTAAAAAGACATTTTGTAATTGTTGTAGATAAAAAATGCTGCTGTGACAAAACAATGTCTATATAACTTGCCAGTTCTGTGCATGTAACGATGAATAACGACTAAAGGTCTATATTAGGCATCTATTTCTTTTTCTTTTTTTTAAAGGATTTCATAAAGATGATCCCATCAACCCTTTTTCTGACCGGTTTGTAAATACTAAACTCAGGAGAGAAGACCCGAGGGATCACACTTGGCAGATAGATCACAAACACTTCATGTGAATGCCTCCGACCCTCTCTAACTTTTTTTTCCAGAGCAGAGGTCAGGTACCTTCTCTTTGGAGATGTTCAGCTTGCTTCCAATGATCTCGGCCATTCGCAGGCGGCCTTCAGGACGGGACAGCATGGCAGTGAAGCAGTCCAGAGCCTGGAGAGAGACATTATGGAGAAAGACATTATGGAGAGGGACATTATGGAGAGGGACATTATGGAGAGGGACATTATGGAGAGAGACATTATGGAGAGAGAAATCATTCATCCTCAATCAACACCCGATGTACAGCCAAAACACATTTGTACTTCTAAAAATAGAAACGGGTATTCCAGTGCAGTACGACTAACCTCCTAGCAGGGTTGGGAGGGTTACTTTAAAAATGTAATCCGTTACAATAACTAATTACCTGTACAAAATCTCAGTAACCTAATCTGAGTATGAACATTTTAAAAGAATGTAACCTGATTTCACTGTAATCCTGCTCTCTTTTTTGATGTAACAGTAATCTGATTACTTATTTTTGTATAATGTAATTGTAATCAAATACAGTTACCTTTATGTTGTATCCTGATTAAATCATCTCATTACATGTAATCCAATACTTTCAGCAGTATTGAAGTACATGCTATCTGCTGGCCTCTGCGTGGGACAGATATGTATCCTGTGTTGTGAACATTTTAGTAGAACAAACCCACTGACCTCCTGGAAGACGTTCTGTGCTGTGGCTGAAGAGGTGCTGTCGAAGTTAACACTGATCCGCTCACACCACTTCAGCAGGTCCCTGAATGAACACACATCAAGACAAAACATACAATTAACATGAGTGTAACAAAGTTTTTTTATTTTTATGAAATGTAGATGTCATAGTAGTGTTAATTTCGTTGACTAAAACTATGACGAAATATGTTCGTCAACGACCTTTTTTTCCATGACGAAAACGAGACGATGACGAGACGGCACCGACGGCAGTAAACAATAACTAACGAAATCATCATGCAATATCGTTGACGAAAAGTGACGAGACGAAAATGTAGTTTACTAAATAAAAACTATGCCAAAATCTCTCTTTACTTTCGTTGACGAAAAATGAGTAGACGAAATATTATCAAAGATAACGTTACATCTCTGATAGTCAGTTTTTCTCCCAGCAGTTCCATTTCCGGTGCTGCGGCTGGGCAGCAGCTGTGTGTCTGCGGTGCGCGCGGCGGTACATTTGAATTACACCGGGCAGCGGCACAATATGAACTGTCAGGAAGACTCGGGTCTAACTCATGGTCTAACTAACCTTATTCAACAGAAAATAAAATGGCAACAACAGGGCTTGGGAGCAGTGGTCGCACTCGCGTTAACCGAAGACCCCCCCCGTCAGCGCGAGTGAGAGATAAATTGTGCACTCGACGGATAATAATGGATTATGACGGAAATGTTACGATCCTGTCCGTCAAAATGACTGACAACGAAAAAGTCTAAAGCCACCACTGCTTGGGAGAAAGAAACTATGTGATATTTGGGCCCATTTTCGCTACAATGAGGCGGAGAAAAAAAGGTAACACATTGTTTTATCAGAAGGGAAGCAATGTGGCCATAACACAGCTGGTGAAAACACCACAAACCTGAGCAGATACTCTCTGCAAATCATTCAACCTGTGTTTTTCATCAAATAAGGACAAGATATAATCTTATTTATTTATATATACTAAAATGACAAATTATTGGTTTTGGCTAGACTAGTTTGACTGAAATGTTCTATATAATCTGATGACTAAAAAATACTCAACAGTTTTTATTGACAAAAAGTAGACTCAAATAATTAGTTTTCTTTGACTAAAATAAGACTAAAATGCTCAGACTTTTAGTCGACTAAATCTTGACTAAAATGTTTATTGTTTTAGTCGACTAAAATAAGACTAAAATGCTCAGACTTTTAGTCGACTAAAACTTGACTAAATAAAAACAGGATGAAGGTGACTAAATATGACTAAAACTAAAAAGGAAATTTAACACAGGACTAAGACTAAAACTAAATTAAAAAATAGCTGACGAAATTAACACTATGTCATAGAGACGTAAGAGAGTCCACTACAATCTCTAAATGAGCTTATTCAGGTATTTGATGTTCCATGTGCTAATCAAGAAGATTACAATAGAACTTGGTGTCTGTACTGCATGCAAGCTGCGACGCATTGAATAAACATGAAATCATTCAGGCAGGGACCGTTAGTCAGTGGTGTAAAGTAACTAAGTACATTTATTAAAGTACACTACTCAAGTACAATTTTGATATACTAGTACTTTACTTAATTGTTTAAATGTGTTGCTACTTTGTACTTCTACTAGGGCTGTCCCGAATACCACTTTACGCAGGGTTGCCAACTCTCACGTTGTGACACGCTTTCACTCTCAATGTCACGCTCTCACGCTGCCCAAACTATTCTCACGCCAGCGATCGTTTTTGGTTGGTTATTTACAATGTTGAGTTGACAGCTGCTCAAGCAGTGGATCCGCTCCCTCCCCGCCCCCACCCAGTGCTGGAATTGGGCCGGTACTCACCGGTACGCAGTACCGGCACTTCTGGTTCTGACCCATGGAGTACCGGCACTTCTTGCTCAGTACCGGCATGCTGGCGGTACTCCGGTACTCATGCACCGTGCCAGTACTCAACACTCTCCCGCCGTTCTTATTATACATCCATATATATATATACAGCCGCCCGGTACTCAGTAGATGCGTCATGAGGTGCCGAACGGACATTCTCATCGCTCTAACCGCTGGAGTTTCACAGCGGCTGTCAGCTGTTTACTCCTGTCATTCAAACAGAACGTGCTGGAGAGGGGGGCGGGGCTTATCTTCTCCATGTAAATACTGTGGTGGAAACGACTATGTCAAAATTAACCTATTTGACCGTGATTTAGTAGTAATACACGTTTCAAAATAATAATAATAATAATGCCGAAGTAACAACATACTGAAAACTGTTAGTAAAACCATGTTTTAATGCTTTACAATTTACATACCTAGATGCACGTGTGTTGTGTTTATGCAGTGCAAACTCCCACCCAGTGGGTGGCTATGTAGAGTGATAGAACAGAGCAGGCACGCCCCCGAGAGAAGGAAAGCAAGTCACGTCACAAATTAGCATTTCTAAAATGTTAGCGTGGATTAATAAAAGTGCAAAAAGACAGCGGTTGTCGCCGGAAGAAACTTCAAATACAGAGAATGCTGTGCCTGTGTTGGAAATGGTGTCTGATGGGGAGCTTTCTTTGGTTGATCCTCCTGCTCCAAGTTCTAGTGCATTAGCATTAGCACTAGCTCCGCCGCCTCCTCCAGAACCTCTAACGTTAGCTGCTGCTGCTGGCTCAACTGCCACCACCAACACCGGGCAAAGCGATGCACCTGACTGCTGGACAACGGACCAGGTGCAATATTTTTGCAAGACCAATGCATGGCTCCTTCTTAAAGATAAGAAGCTAGGATGTCGGATATGCAGAGATGTCAAATCTTTGGGAACACACACTGGACAAGGACTGAAACCGTCAACTGAATGGGGTGAGTGTGCAGTGTCTCATTTCGGTGTTGACAAGGGCAAACAACAAGCTAGCCTGAGAAAAAAAATCAAAGAACATAAAGAATCACAAGCCCATGTAAAAGCTGCTGACATCCTTACATCTGCTTCACGTGAAACTATTCAACATCAAGTGCAGTCTATGCATAAATCTGAATTAGACACCACTATCAGAGTTTTTCGAACGGCATATAAAATTGGCAAACATAGCCGGCCATTCACAGACATGCCAATTGATTTGAATGTACAGAAACTGAATGGGCTGAACGTGGGCAGGGTTTTGCACTCCAATAAAACCTGTGGCGAAATCATCGACCACATAGCTCATGAGCTGAAGAAAAAAATGGCAAAAGACATTACAGAAAACCAAAGAAAACTCTGTGTTTTGGTCGATGAATCTACCACTATTAGTGGTAAAACGGTGCTTGTTGTGTGTCTACGCTCAGCATTAGCTGATGCTGAGCCCGAAACGTTTTTTTGGGAAGCTGATCGAGTTGGATGGAACAACGGCTGATGACATCACAAAGGCGTTAATGGAGTGTCTTGGAAGAGATTTTAACGAGGACTTTTTAGGTCAGTGTTTCGTTTCTTTTGCATGTGATGGGGCTTCAGTCATGCTAGGGAAGAGAACAGGCGTTGCTACCCAGTTGTGTAGTAAATTCTCAAGCCTGTTTGTGTGGCACTGCTCCAATCATCGTCTAGAGCTGGCAGTTGGGGATGTGGTCAAGGAGGTCTCAGGGCTCAATCATTTCCAGATCTTTTTTTGACAAACTCTATTCCTTGTTCCATGCCTCCCCCAAAAATCAGAGGCAGTTAGCGCAGTGTGCGCAAGCAGTCGGACAGCGTCTCCTGGTGATAGGGCGTGTTTTGTCCATCCGCTGGGGTGGCTTCAAGTGAAAGGAGCGTCAGAGCAGTCTGGGAAAACTACCGAGTGCTTCATGATCACTTCACAAATGCTGCAAACGACACGAGCAGGGATTCCAGAGACAGAGCAAAGTACAAGGGCCTGGATGATGTGCTCACATCTGCAACGTTTGTCAGCAATCTGGGACTGATGTACGATGCGCTCACAGAGCTCAGCGACCTCTCTCGGCAACTCCAAAAAAGAGAGATGACACTGCCTACAGCAGATAGGCTCTTAACTCGAGAAATACGAGTTTTTTGAATCCATGGTCACCATGCCTGGCCCACACATGACTACAGTTCATACAGCTCTAGCTGAGAAGTCCTTCAAGGGTGTTGCCCTGCGTGAGAATGGCAGGCTTGTACAGATTCATGCAGGTCAGTTTTTCCGCAGTATGGTAGAGAATCTGAGACACAGAATGACTTCCACAACCTCCTCTCATGTCAGCACAAGAGAAATCCCATTAAATGGCCGGGAGGCCCGGGACAATCAGCTAATCCAGGACATGAAAGTTATCCATCCTGGAAGTTGGCCTGAAGAGGAGTTAGACGTACAGTATGGGGACGTAGAGGTGCTACGTTTGTGCGAAGTGCTGAAAGTGGACAGAAGAGAGACTGTTCAGGGCTTTCGCGAATACAAGGAAACCAGGGCATCCCGTACACCTGCTGCCATGGAGCCTCTACTGAAAGCAGTCCGAACCATCGCTGTCTCCACTAGTGAGTGTGAGCGGGCATTCAGCTGCATGAACGATATCCTTACTGCAAAAAGGAATGCTCTCTCTGTCAGCCGACTGTCCAGCCTGGTTTTCATTAAATGTAATGGACCATCACTAGGACAGTTCAATCCGGAACAGTATGTGAGGTCCTGGCTGGCAAAGGGAAGGAGAAGTGCTGATGAAAGAGCCTGTCCAGCTCCAGCCCCTGATATTGATGTCCCCAAGGCCTTCTGGAGACTTTTCTAACAATGTGAAGTATATTGCAAAGCAGCTCACCCAGTGAGAAGACTTTTGGCATAATGTGCCGATTTGTACAGATCCTGGAGATAGAAGGACTTCAGACCAACCAGGGAGTTATCTGATCAGCTTGGTGTTCAATGTAACTCTTTACCATGGCTCAGACTTTGTTACTTGCAGTTACAGTTTCTCATTTTAGATTGTGCAAATTTTTGCATTTGTTTTTACATGTTCTTTGTTCATGCTCTTTATCATTTTTCTGAGTTGGAAAGTTAGATTGCATCATAGTTTACTTTATACATATTTGTATTCTTCAGTGGTGAAGTATATTGCAAAGCAGCTCAGCCATGTGAGAAGACTTTT